AAGAGTTAGCTTGGGTAGGAGTCTTAGGTCTAGGCTAGGTAGGAATTTGTGCAGAGATTGTGGGCCTGTCTTGTGCACCATCTCGTTTGTATGCACTGCTCTATTGGTATGTCATGGGTGTGACTGGGTACCACGGTAGTTTCCCGGCCTCGTGGTACACCAGCAAGAGTCCATACTTATATTGTACGATTCTGGTCCTGGTCCAGCCCCGCTCTCTACACCCCCCCCTTGAGTAGTGGTAGGGGTTGGGTGTTAGGTATATACGATTCCCAAGGGCGGGGCTCATGTCTATCTTACGATGCTTGCGGGCTGGGCTTCATACGGGCTGGCACCTGTCTGCGTTCCCACTGAGGGGGTTGATTGGGGCGTGAATCTGGGGAAGGGTCTCTGGGTAGGGCTCTTGTCTTAGGCAGGGGAGGGTGGGTTGTCGCATTGATAGTAGAAGGGTGGTAGACACCCATAGAGTCTGCTAGATGTGATACAGGAGGGGAATGACCACATATCTGTGACCCCTCCTGTGTCAGGGTCGGCCTCTAGAATTTGGGGTGTCCCTATGGCAGTGCCCAGGGGGCCTCCCTCGGAAGGCGCGGGTTGGTGTAGGTCTAGGTCTAGAGACAAGGTCTGGGTCGCACCGCCGTAGGGCTCGACTTGCAATCTGGTTAGGACAGTAAAAAGAAAAAAGTTCACGAATGATCCCCCCAAGAGGAGACTGTCCTTGGGGCTGTCACAGGCCATCTGATCTCCCCACTGGTTGAGTACAACGACGGGCACCTCCCCAGGCCTAGCATCCAGCCTCTACTACGATCTAGACTTCAAAAAAAGAAAAAGGGAAGTTCCGCAAAAAAAAAAGAAAAGGGAAAGTTTCGGCAGACCATCAAACCAGTCAACAACCTATGAAATTTCCTGGACCCAATCAAAATGGTCCTCCTACAGTCTTCCCCCGAACAAAACGCACGTGCATTTTTTTACGAATAGAACGCACGGGATGAATTGTATTCATATACAAAGCACGTGCCTTATACTATTGATATAGGGTATCAACTTCCAACCGCTCCCCTCCCCCTAAACAAAAGTATATGCCTCAACCAGTTGTCCCGCAGACAGGACCTTCACGTAAGGCACAGAGAGAGAGAGAGAGAGAGAGAGAGAGAGAGAGAGAGAGAGAGAGAGAGAGAGAGAGAGAGAGAGAGGGCGGAGCACTGCAAGGTCCGCACGCTTGAAAACGAGGGCGGCACTGCAGGCAGGCACACGTGCCAGAGTGTGTGTTGTCATAATCGCTATACACTCAAAAAAAGCATGTACCAGACTGTTTCCTCAGACTTTCACCGACTCATCAGGAGGTTGAACCCCGACAGTCTTCCCAGGATGCATTTGACTGATGTGCAATGACTTGCCGGTTCTAATGGTCTGTAGCCCCTCTCGTCGAGGCTGTACTATAGGCAGGATAGATTTGTAATTTTGTTTGGCTGAGGGCTAACCGAGAGACCTACCTGTAGGGAAAATTCGAGAGGGACATATCTGCGAATTCGGGAAAATATAGTCCCATACTAACTAACAGTACCTACAGCTACCCTAACTGCAACTAGCAGGCCCGGGCTACCTGTAACGAGCGCGAGGCTGAGGGAGACAGGGAGAGACGAGGGAGAGGGGAGAGAGAGGGAGAGAGGGAGAGCACACACACACTCACTCACTCGACACGACTGAGGGTCGGATGCAGACACAGTGACAAGGGCACAAAGTCGAAGTCTTGGATTCCGAATGCCGAAAACAGGAGCAAGTCCCACTGAGTACGAGTACAGCAGCTGAAACTGGTACAAGACCGGTTGCCCGTACTGTACGGGGAACCGGTATAAGTGTCGGTGACCCATACGGTACCAGGGGCATCTCTGCAAAAGCCCCGAGGGCAGGACTGAAAAATACGGTATTTGAAAGTGGCGCCCGGATTGTAGCATGGTGCCAGTTGTCCAAAATCCGACGGTACCAAAGGAGGGGTTTGAAAAAAGGGTGCCAGGCCAAAAATGGGATGTAGCAAAAACAGCAACAAAATAGACCAGGGGTCGAGCCCTGGCGGAGTCCATAACACTATCCCCTCCCTCTGAAAGGCAACGTCCCGGCTGCCAAAAACTTAAGGAGACAAAAAGGAACTCTGAAGGATGGGACGGGGCCGATCACTGGTCGGAAAAGGAGAAGGGGAGTGATGCAAGTCACAGGGTATTCTGTCAGATGTTCTGCGCAGGTGAAGGTATGATGTGACTGAGTAGGTCTACAGGGGAAGCTAAGAAATGTTCAGGGAACAGGGGATTTCTATTGATGTTCTACTGGGTAAGGGGAACAATGGTCAGGGAAACAGGGAATTTCTATTGATGTTCTAGTGAGTAAGGGAAACAATGGTTAGGGAACAAGGATTTTCTAATGATGTTCTACAGGGTTATGAGGAAAAATGAAAGTGTTTGTTCAGGATGCAGGGGCTGGTATGTCCGAAGGAGTGGGAAGCAAAAACTCGTGTAGGAACAAAGTGTCCAAGTGTCTTGAAAGGGGATCTGCAGCGGTCTTGATCAAGTTCTTGGAGTACGTGGTAGAAGCGGTCCTCAGCGGCTGCAACAGGTAGAACTCCAAGAAGCGTAGCAGTAGTTCAAATGTCCAAAGTCCAAGTGCTAGGGTGCGTCCGGTACACGAACTGCAATGAGGTCTGATCTGGAAGCAAGGAAGTCGCAGACTGATGCAAAGATCCATGTCACAAGTTGCTGCTCCAGTAAGTCTGCGAGTCAGGATGCCGGCCGATGAAACAGCATGGTGGCCAAACCAGCTGCATAATCTCCGTGATCAGTGAGGCGGCAGGCCATCGTCCTCGTGCATTTGCCATTAGATCCTTTATCGCCCGCGTCACGCAGGTCGACAAGCATTGGACAAGAGAGACAAGGTAGTGGAAAGGACAGATTGGACAAGGCTGCTACGCAAGGGCAAGGGCAGATCAGACATCAGGAATCAGGGTCGAGGGGAGGGTGGGCTGGGTTCAAGCGTGTGTGTAGAGCAGGGTTGCGAGGTTGTAGCAGGGTTTCAAGCGAGGGTTTAGGGTTTATGTCGGGGTATAGTTAGGATACAGGGTAGGCACGATCATAGGTACGAACAAGTTTCATGGCCTTCTTGAGATTATCAAGGGGTTCCCATGCTGATTCTTCATCAGGGTATCCGGTCCATTTTACTTCGTATTCGGTGATTGGTTCCGGGTGATATGATACTTGAGTTGTTCTCCGTCCTATGATTGATTCGACTATGAATTTTGGGCCTGTTGGAACCATGATTGGTGGAGGTCTAGCATAAGGGCGGTCAGCGAACTGGGGCAGGGATTCGTGGTATTCCTCGAGGTATTCTAGGTGGAAGACTGGGTGGACGCGGCGCATGTCAGGTGGAAGCTGAAGTTTGTAATTCACGGGAGAGGTTTGTTCAATGATGGGGAAGAGACCGAGCCACTAGTTCGAGAGTTTCTTGGACAAGCCTTGTTCGGGTTCAAAGCGTTTGGCAGAAAGTCAGACTTTGTCCCCTACTTTGAATGACACGTCAAGTTTGTGTTTGTTAGTCTTGTTGGCTTGTTGTTCTTGTGTTTTTTTAAGGGCTTCGGTCGCTTCTCTGAGGAGTCTGTTCATTGTTGCTACCCATTCATTGAGAGAGGGGCAAGGGGTGGAGGGGCTGAGCTGCGAGGGAAGCAAGAAATCAGAGGGCAAGCGGGGATGGTAGCCGAGGTCGAGGTAGAAAGGGGACATGCCAATGGAGGGGCAGACAACGTTGTTGTAGGCAATCTCGGCGATTGTGAGCAATTGATCCCAGTCATGTTGGTGTGGATGACAATACTTCCGCAGAATTCTTTGGAGAGTACCGTTCATCTTCTCGGTCTGGCCATTGGTCTGGGGGTGGAATGCAGTGCTATACTTTAGCGTGGTTCTGTAGTCTTGGAAGAGGTGTTTCCAGAACTCTGATAGGAAGCAGGTATCGCAGTCACTGATGATGTTCTCGGGGAGACCGTGGTGGCGAGCGACATAATCGAAGAAGAGTATGGCGATGTCTTTGGCATTGTGCGAGGTGGTACAAGGAATGAAGTGGGCGCGTTTGGTCCGACGACAAACAATGACGTAGATGCAATCATGCCCACGGTCAGTCTTGGGGAGGCCGCACACGAAGGCCATGGAGATGGACTGCCAGCGGTGGGTAGGGATGGGCAATAATTGGAGCTTGCCGGGCTTGGCCCGGTTCGAGGGATTAACGGCCTGACAGGTGGGGCACGAGCGGATGTATGCTTTGACATCGGCGAGTAGAGAAGGCCAATGGAAGTAGCGGGAGATGGTGTCGAAGGCTTTCTGGAAACCGAGGTGGCCAGTGGTCTTGGCGTCGTGGTGCTCGGCCAAGAGCTGGGTACGAAGACCATGTGCGTCAGGGATGCAGAGTCGGTGAGTGCCCTTGGTGTCAATGTAGAGTAGATTGTCATGGAGAGAGTAGTCAGGGACTGAGTCAAGGTTGCGGAGTTGGTAGTAAATGGAAACAAAGTCTGGCAAGAGAGGTAACCTTAGGTGTAGCTGCGATGTAACGAGGGAAGAAGTTGAATGTGGGTCATGGCGGCGTAGACTTTCTCAGGGGGCTTGTGGTCGGGGCGGCGGGAGAGGGCATCAGCAACGCGGTTGCTTTTGTCGGGGGTGTGGCAGATGGTGAAGGTGAACTAGGCAAGGAAGTCTAGCCATCGGGCTTGGCGGGGGGTGATGTCTTTCTTGGTAAGGATGAAGGAGACGACTATGTTGTCAGTGCGGATGGTGAAGTATTGCCCGACGTACGGGTGCCACACTTTGAGGGCGTAGACCACGGCTAGGAGTTTCTTCTCGTTGGAGAGGTAATTCATCTCCGCGGGAAGGAGTTTTTTGCTAGCGAAGGCAATGGGGTGTTCGCCGGGTGGGGACTTTGAGTGAGTAGGGGAATCTTTGACAGAGGGGATCTCGGTGGGGTCATGAGGGAAATGTTGGGACAGGACAGCCCCAATGGCGAAGTCTGAGGCATCAGTGGTGACGAAGAAATGGCGAGTGGGGTCAGCGATCTTGATGACGGGGGCGGTGGTGATGAGTTGCTTGAGTTTGTCGAAAGCCACTTGGCGGCGTTCAGTCCATGTGAAGGACTCCGTGGCGCGGGTGAGCTCATGGAGAGGGTAGGAGACGTCGGAGAAGTTTTGAATGAAGGGGCGGTAATAGTTGGTGAGTCCAATGAATGAGCGAAGTTGGGTCAAGGTGGAGGGAGGTGGGAACTCGACGAGGGCGGAGACCTTTTTGCTGTCCATGCGGATGTCGTCGGCCGAGACAATGTGACCAAGGTATTCTACGCTAGGGGCAGCAAATGTACACTTGCTGAGCTTCGCGTAGAACTTTTGTTCTCGAACGATGGAGAGAACTTTGCGAAGGTGTTCGAGGTGGGATTCGAAGTTGGGGCTAAAGATGACAATATCATCAAGGTAGACCACGACACAAACTTCGAGGAGGTCACGAAAGATGTGATTCATGGTAGATTTAAATGTGGCGGGGGCATTGGTGAGTTCGAAGGGCATCACGAGGAACTCGTAGTGCCCGAAGCGAGAGCGAAAGACAGTCTTGTGGGTGTCCTCCTCGTGGATGCGGATCTGGTGGAAGCCACTGCGGAGATCAATCTTGGTGAAATACTTGGCTCCACGGAGACGATCAAGAAGCTCGGATATGCGAGGGAGTGGGTACTTGTTCTTGATCATGATCCGGTTCAGGGCACGGTAGTCTGTGCACATGCGGAGTTCCGAGGTGCCGTTCTTCTTAACGAAGAGACAGTTGGTTCCGAAGGGGGAGGAGCTAGGCTTAATGAATTCTTTCTCAAGGAGTTCAATAAGTTGTCGCTTCATCTCTTGGGCCTCGGGGACGGAGAGCTGGTACTGAGGGCGACGAGGAGGAGAGTGGCCGAGCTCGAGATCAATGGTGTGGGATACACCGTGATCGGGAGGTAGACCGGCGGGCAAGGACTCGAGGAAGACATCTTTGAATTCGGAGAGGAGGGCGGTGATGTGGGGATCAGAAGGAGGATCTTGGTCGGGTTTGTCCGTTGGAAGCAAGTCCTCGGGACGCTCGCGGTCGATGACAATGCAATAGTAAATGGAGTCAGGGTGTTCACGGGACATGTGGAGGAATTGATGTGGGGAGACAGGGGGTGGGGTGGAAGGGGGAAGAAGGTAGGGGATGTGAACGGGAGAGTCGGGAGGGTTGGTGAGGCGAACGAAGGAGGGGTGGAATGAGTAGGGCATGTAGCGGCCAAGCCACGGGGTCCCTAGGACGATGTCGCACATAAGGTGCATGACATCGAAGAAGACCTGACTGCGAAGGGGGCTGACAGTCATGGTGGTCTCAGGGACTGTGCGATCGACGACGACGGCTGAGTCCTTATCCCCTAGGCGGATAGCGATCGGGGAGTCGTAGCCGGTGGAAGATAAGCCGGCTTTGTGGACACAGGCGTTGGTGATGAAGTTGTCGGTGGCGCCAATATCAAGGAGGGTCCGGAACTTCACCGTCAATGCACCGAGGGAAACGGGAATGAACTTGAGCTGGAACTGTGCAGATCCGGCACAAGCAGAGGAGATCATAGTGTTGAGGCGGCGTTGCTCGAGGCCTAACCTAATGAGCCGATTGTGGCGGGCTTGTTGCTCAACAAGGTCTGTGAAAGTGGTGGCGGATGGGTTAGGGAGGAGGGTGGAAGAACACGTGGCAGTGGAGGGTTCATCCGACGGAATAGGGGACATCGTCGGGAGGGGGGCAGGCGGAGTAGACTGCGACGCCTGGAGATTGTCCGGTGGGATGTGCGTCACCGGAGGAGGGGTTGGCAGACGAATGGTCGACGCCAAATGAGCCATCGGTGGGACGGAGGACGTCACTGATGGGTGGGCTGACAGGCGCGGTGTCGGTGCCGGGTCGATGTCCTGGGGACTGTGTTCATGATGAGGAGGGACCCTCGCCTGCCGAGGGCAGTGATGCGAAGGTTGTGGGTCGAGTGGAGGTGGACTGGCGAGTGAATTGTGCTGCGTTGGGGCAGTTGGTTTGTTGGTGCCCCAATTGGCGACAACGGAAGCAACCCCCTTTTGCTTGGAGGTAGGTGCGCTCCTCGGGGCTGAGTTTCTTGAGGCGGGAGGGTGGGGTAGATGAGGGTGGTCGAGAGTTGCGATCTTTGCGTTCCATCCTCATGAATTGGACGACATTGAGTTCCTCGGAAGACAGGGATGAAGAGTCGAGTAAATCGAAAGATGCATCCGGGTCCGGTGTAGTGAGCTCGTTCGAGGAGGTGGTGGAGGTGGTGTCCTCGAAGGCGATGTTGTGGAAGAAGCGAGGGCGGGGAGGGGCCGATGTAAGTGTGGTCTTGTAGGGGGAGAGGATGCGATCGAGTTGGAGGGTACAAGTGAGGAGGTCGGCGAGGGTCATGGGGGGCTCGTGGACAAGGGCGGCCGCTAGGTCTTTGCGGCATACGCGCTTAACGCGGGAGATGAAGGCGAGATCGCTAACGACATCAACGGGGATATGTTGACGAAGCGAGCGGGCGTATTGCATAAAACGGTCGGTTCGGTCGTTTTGTTGGAGCCGACAGAATTGGTCGATATAGTCGTCGACCGTTTTCTGTGGGCGGAAGGTGGAGGTGATGAGGGTGGCCCACTCAAGGAAGGTGTGAGGCCAGAGACCGGAGTGGTGGTGATTAGACATTTCTGTGTACCACCAACGAGCCGCGTTGTCTAGGAGTCGGCTGCCAGCGATGGGGAGCCAGTGGATGACAGGGATGGCGTGAAGGGAGAAGGCTTGTTGGAGTTTGGTGAGGAAGAGGAGAACGTCCTCATGGGGTTGGTCCGAGA